GTCAAAGTGGGCAGAAGATGGAATGAAGACATCTCCACACTTCCTTTTTCTCACTTCTTCTACAGGAAGCCTGTTGAACTTTGTCCACAGAGGTTCCTGTCCCAACCTCGGCGTCCATTACAAACATCGCTCTACTCCTATAAGTATTAATAACAGATGTTTAGAGACATTATCTACACGTCTTAGATGTCCCCTAGTCCTAAATCACCTTCTTACAGGCCGTGAAGGTTTATGTATCAGGAAGCAGAGTGGAAACCTTCTTTTCTCCTTGTTTACCATCTGTCCTCAGTCTGTTGAGCTCGTTGATACCAACTCCGGACCTGAACCCCCCCCCCCACAGCTCACAATGATGTACTGAACCTAAATTGGTCCTCATAAGTATAGAAAGACGTGCACACACATACAGACACGCGCACGCACACATATACGGCTCCCCTCCCCCCTCGTTTCCTCCTGCAGGACAAAGCGGCCACGCTGCTGTTAACGGACACACACTAACACACACAGACACACACTAACACACACAGACACACACAGACACACACTAACACACACAGACACACACAGACACACACTAACACACACAGACACACACTGAAACACACTGAAACACACGCAGACACACAACTCACACATTTAAAACATCGAAGCATCTAAACTGAGGAAAAAGTCGTTTCCCGTTTCTGTTCAACTTCACCGTCTCTCTCTCTCTCACACACACACACACACACTCTCTCTCTCACACACACACTCTCTCTCACACACACACACACTCACACACACTGATCACGGATCGATCTTCTTCAGAACCATCGGTAACATCTGTCTAACGGAACACACGGTGTTTCGAGACGTGAGACAGACAAAGAGAGAGACACGGAAAGTGACGCGGACTCCCACAACCCCCCTCGGTGTGTGATCGGTAACGTGTGTGTGGGTCTGATCGGATCCCGATCACAGGGATCGATCAGTGAAGTGTGTACTTGTAGTTTCGTGTGGACGCACCTTCAGGTTGATTTCCTTCATCCTGTCCTGTCTCCTACTCTCCAGCAGCCGGGACATCCCCGCCCTCAAACCCAACACACCTCCGCTGATCGATCACCCGCCCTCCCGCTGACCGATCACTCATCGATACTCGATCTGCTGATCGGGAGGATCCGTTCGGTTCTGGTCCCGGAGCGGTCTGCGGTCTGATCCCCGGGGGCGGAGCTACTTTCTGACTGACAGCGCTTCTGTCTACTTCTGACCAATCACAGCTCAGCCCGCTGCTGTCGCTCTCAGCCAATCCCCTCACCGTTCGCCTATTAAACCCCGCCTACCAGCATCTGTCAGGGAGCGCTTGTTTAAGACACCGGCGCGGTGACGCTTCGGATGTTGGGTGGAGTTAGTCTCTATGACAACGTGTCAATGTGCCACAGGAGCCTTACAGCCAATCAGAGAGCAGCACGAGGTCACATGACACCGGTGACGAGGAGCACCGCCCGCCCCGCGGATTGCTGCTGTGCGCCGGTGTTCAGATAAAGCGAACCCGCGAGATTCTGAGCGGAAACACAAAGAAACACGAGACAATATACAGTACACAAATACTGCGTTACACAAATACTGCGTTACACAATACTGCATTACACAAATACTGCATTACACAAATACTGCGTTACACAAATACTGC